AGTACTGCTACACCTTCTATCACCACAAATGCTGCTTGTAGGCTTAGGCCAAGAGAATAAGGGCTCAACATAAAGAAGGAAAAATGCCACTCAGAAGGAGGAGAGTCACCTACCCTACAGCATATAGCTCTTCTGTATTTCTGCCTCCTCAAATTTTCTATTAAACTACCCCCAGGCGCTTATTTATTTGACTTAAAACAAATGCATGTGGAAATCTTTGTGAGCAATGTTTCTATCCTGGCTTATAGAGTTGACAACTCAATCATTCACAATAATAATGACCTGAATATTTTGTGACAGGTGGTACTTCCGCCTAATTGACTATACCTTGCCACGGGGTCTCTACGTCTTTCACCAGCCATATCCGGAACCATGACACTAGACACTTCCAGTTAAAAAACAAAGAGATACTACAGATATGCAATAAAGGGCTTTTGTTTGAAAAATCAAGTACAACTGAAGTCTATTTTAAAATAAAGCAAACTATTCTTGTGTTTAACAAGCATATTTACTTAATTTATATGACTGGTACCACCCCATTCATTGCCCTTGCAGTCTGCTGTGTGAAAGAATCTTAGGCATTTATCAGAAAGGATTTGGAGAATTTGGCTGTGAAGTTCCTGCACATGTTATCTACCTAAAGTAATTTCTAAGATGTTGATTTCATAGCATCTCAGCAATTGTTCTTAAGTGAGTGAAAATTATACCTTATGTTTACTTTTTCAATCATGTACAATAAACCGAAGAGTCTTTTTATCACAGATGTTGAGGAATTTTGTTTTCAATCTGAGAGGAGAAAGTTTAGTAGCTTACACTTTCTAAATTTTCATACAGTATTTGCCATTCAGCAGAATATTTTGCATAAATTATATTTTATGAACATTGGACTATAAATTTTTAGTGAAGAAATATTTCAATGTGTAATATTTTAAAATATCAGATACCTATCAAGTTTGCATTTCTATTAAATGATCTGTACAGAGAGTAAAATATTCTGTTCTTTCTCTTAAAGATTATTTGTAAGAAGTGGCAGAGGATTGTATTAATTATTTCAGATATGTAGAAGTCATTGTTCTCTCTAGCATTCGAAGTGAGATCAAATGAGGAGAGAATTAAGAATCTTCCCCGCAGCATTTCAATCCGTGTTGATTGTTTTTACTGTGTTTGTTCCTAAACCAATAATGCTTGTCTTTTCTTTCTCTTTCTATCACATACTTGTATAATGCCTTATGTGTTTCCTAACTATCTTTCATAGACTTATTTGTATCATCTGGAACAGACTGTGAAGCTCTTAAAGGAAATTGGCATATTTTGTATAATTGGTATACATCCTATAGTATCTACAAAAACTGGGCCAGAAAACAAAAAGTTGGAAAACATGTATTTGTAAAATGTAACAAAGGGTTAACTTTCTCATGAAGTACAGCAATTTGAAATTGTTCTTTGCTTAAAAAATGCAAATTGAAGTGGTCTGTGTTATTCCAGGAAGAAAAGTCAAGAGTCAGGGCACAATTCATCATATTTCAATTTTCCTGCTTCAGCAATTAGCGATTCACAGAGAGAAAGACCTTCCTTTAGAGTGGGACCAGAGTAACTATGGAGTAGAATAAAACCTTGCAGCTACCTAGGATTAACAGGAAATATATACAGATACATACATACATAAATATATACACATACATATACACATACATACATGTATATACACATATACACATACACATATACTTTCAGAGATTTGGGGTTATCTACACAACTTAGCTATGTGATGTGTGGTGATGGTGTCTATTGCACTGAGTCTTAACTTGATCTTGACATTTAATGTTATCTGTCAACTTTCTTTGCCATATCCAAAATTATCTTCCAGTCCTTCCAAAACTTGATAGTCCAAGCTGACCAGTAATCTCACTAGTTATGACGTGGGGAACCATAACTCTGGATATTCCCAATGTCCATGCTTTTTTCACATCTTTCCAGCTTCATAAAGTATCTTCCTCAATCCTTCCATAATCTAAACTATAATGCTTTCTTCAGGACCTATGTAAGCCTTACTTCTTTGACAAATTTAGCTTAAAATGATTTCCATAGTCTGTCCATTTCCAAATGCTTAGGAATCTGTACCTAATATTTGCATGTTCCTCTGAATCTTTCATTGGTTTGCCCTGACAATACTGACCTCTTCAATGATTTAGTTGTTGTTTGGTTTTTGTTTTTGAAATGGACTCTCACTCTTGTCACCCAGGCTGGAGTGCAGTGGTGCAATCTCAGCTCACTGCAACCTCTGCCTCCCAGTTTCCAATGATCCTACTAACACCTCAGCCTCCTGAGTAGCTGGGATTACAGGTGCATGTCACCATGCTTGACTAACTTTTTTGTATTTTTAGTACTGACAGGGTTTCACCATGTTGCCCAGGCTGGTCTCAAACTCCTGGCCTCAAGTGATCCTCCCACCTCAGCCTCCCAAAGTGCTGAGATTACAGGTGTGAGCCACCACACCCAGCCTTCTTCAGTGATGTTAACGTAAACTCTTTTGAAATCTTCTGGAAATTTGGACAAAGATAAGCACAGATTAGCAGATTGACATATTTAAATCCATTCATTTATTGGTTATTTCACCAATTTACTCAACAAAAGTCATGTGCCATACTGGATGTTGGATGCCAGAAATGTTAAGATCAGAAAAAGAAAATCTCGCCAATAAAAAAGTTCAAAATTTGTAGGAAAAAGAAAAATGTGCCATCTTGATATATTAAATTGGTATGGCATAAATGTACTAAAAAGAAGGGCTGATGGGGGCAAGAGGGAGTCACTTTTAGAGTGATCAGAATAGTATCCTACAAGAAAGTGCATTTTATTCACTCATTCCTTCAATAAATATTTAATATATGACTGCGACATGCCAGGTGCTGTTACACTGGGGATACTGAGATGAAAGGTCACAAGGTACAGTATTTACAGAGCTTACACTCAAGAGGGGGAAGACACTGAGTAAATCAACAAAGTAGAATCTAGAAAGCAAATTTACCTTAACAGGATTATGATAGATGCCATGTTTTTATTTGTTTTGGTTTGGATTAGTAAGGATATCATTCATGCCACCATTTCACCCTGAGTGCCTCAACTTTTATAGGAATAAGCAAATAAGGCAAATGGCAGTGCCTGGGTTTGGCTTTCCCCAAGCTTGCTTAACAGGAAAACATTTTTCTGATTGATTGATCATTTTTTAAAAATGCATTTTAATTAACGTACCTAAATATTAGCATGCCTTAGCCACTACTTATCTAGTTTAAATTCCAGTGCTTAATTCAAAACAGAGTAGAAGAAAATCCAAACATCTAGTTAAATAAATATCTCATTAAGTTTTTACTGTTATTGGTTCATAATTACTGTTTATTTTATTCCAAGTCTGAATGGTTTTCATGGAATTAACTGAACCGTAATACCCGGTGTTTGGAGTTTTGGTGTCTGTGTGTGTGTGTTTTGTTTTGTTTGTTTGTTTTTCCTCTTACAGCTTCAACTAGCTTTGGATTTGAAACAGCCTTTCTTAAAACTGCTTACAGGCAACTTCTTCTGCTTCCCACTGTTGTGCCCTCTAGAGAAAGAGCAAGTCTACTTCTTTGATTTCAATTTACATCAATAAGCATGGATTGAACGGCCACCAAGAGCTTTAAAGACACAAAGGTGAGTAAATCACAGTCCATTTCTTCAATGAGTTTATAATGTATAACGGAATCCGAGAACTTTAAAAAAAAAAAGAAAAAAAAAAGGCAATTGACTGGTCAAAGAAAATTATCATTATGTGCCCAAATAGGCTTCCAAATTATCTGTGTGCTAAGAATGATGCTTCATTAAGTAACCCATTTTCTCTGGTTCCAGCAGCTCAGCCAGAGAAGGAAAAATAGTTCTTTGATTGCAGTGTGTTGTTCTTGGCCCACAAAAGATCCAAACAAATACTTTGCTGCACTAAGAAAGAAGTCTTTTCTTTGTCATCAAACAAACTTCCTTTAGCTTCCTTCTTCTATCACGTGTTTATATGCCATATCCAGGTTTATTTATCAATCAACCACAAATCTCGTCCACTTTATCACAAAGTGCCTCTATCCCAGTATCCGTCTTACAGGAGCTGCACCACTGTTTACAATGCATAGCAATTCACACACTTAGACACTTTACAGAGACTAGAGAAGGGTTTATACATACATCATATATATGTATATATTTGTATGCATATATACACATATACAACTCCATGTATTATATATATATAAATTCCCATATACCAGAGAAAGAAACAGGGTTTCAAAAATCTGTAGAAATAAAAGGGATAAATTATTTTTACTGACTTTAAATAAAGACAAGGCAGGTTGGACTCAGTGGCTCACACCTGTAATGCCAGCACTTTGGGATACCAAGGCAGGGTGGACTGCTTGAGGGCAGGAGTTTGAAACCAGCATGGCCAACATGGTGAAACCCCATCTCTACTAAAAACACAAAAATTAGCCATGTGTGGTGGTGGGTGCCTGTAATCCAAGCTACTTGGGAGGCTGAGGCAGGAGAATTGCTTGAACCAGGGAGGCAGCAGTTGCAGTGAGCCAAGATCATGCCACTGCACTTCAGCCTGGGCAACCAAGTAAGTAAGACTCTGTCTCATAAATAAATAAATAACAATGCAAGACTATTATGTTTTTGAAGAAAGCAACGTTTTATACAAGTCTTATTTATTTCTTAGACCCCCATACTACTTAACGGACTAATAGGGGTTTGTTCGTTTTTTCCAATTTTTGAGAACCCTGTAAAATAAATTTATTCTTAGTATTCTCATAAATTTACCATAAAATGTATTAGACAATGAATATTTGCCATATTTTCTTTTGGAAAAAGTTTTCAACTTAAGTCTAAAGATTCTGTATTTCTACTTAATTTAAGAGATTGGCAAACAAGATGCAGTACTGACTATACTTCTTTCCCTGAGAGACTATATCTTTTGTTAAAGAACATACCCAGATGCTGTCCTCTTGGCGATACTGTTTCCAGTTCCAGCCACTATCACTGAACATCAGGAGGTAGCTGGTCACCCAGTTGGAGCTCCCATATCCCCCTTGAGTGGCCACAGCGGTAACCTCCATTCTCTCTCCAAGGTCAATCTGCAACCACTGGTATTTGTTAGACACAAGTGGAGACCAGCCACCAGCTCCTTTTATTAAAAATAGAAACAAGAGAAAATTGGGAAAGAAAAGTTAGTTAAAAAAATCTATGTTAGTAAAGCAGAAATGCCAGCAAGACTGTATTTCTCTATGGAACTTAAATTTCCAAAATATCAAACTTCTTAGAATTGTAGAAAACTATAGAGAAGAATTTAGTATAATTGTATGATGTCTATGTTAATTAATTGTGTTCGTTTCTAGGTTTTATAGCCTCCTAAAACTTTGAGAACTAGGGGTCTTGCTGAATGTTTAACATGCTGAATCTGACAGGTGAACGTTTCCACCAAGACTGGGACTAACATGTCTACAGCACACATGCATGCCTGGGTAATGGTCTGCTCTCCTACCCCTTTCCCCAGGACTGGATGTAAGGAAATAACTTCAAGCTATGATGGAACTAAAAATCTACTTTTGATCATTTTTAGACTGACAGAAGGGAGTACATTATTAAGTCTGAGGGAAAAGAAAAGTCAAGAAATAGTTCCTGCCCTCAGATGTTTACATTCTTCGGGAGGGACAGATATGGAAAACCACGCTGGAAACAGCAAGAATGATGGGGGATGAGCAGGCGAAAATAACACAACAAAGATGCTCTAGCCAGTGGTGGGCTGGAGCTCGTTCCCAACAGTTTGTAAGAGACAATCATTACATTTTCAATTTTGCAAGCTAGTCATAAACATGATCATCTTTGCGTCTGGCCATGATGGGACTGTTTAAACCAGACGTCCCCAAACTTTTTACACAGGGGGCCAGTTCACTGTCCCTCAGACTATTGGAGGGCCACCACATACTGTGCTCCTCTCACTGACCGCCAATCAAAGAGGTGCCCCTTCCTGAAGTGCAGGGGGAGGGGGCCGGATAAATGGCCTCGGGGGGCCGCAAGCCGACCGCGGGCCGCAGTTTGGGGACGCCTGGTTTAAACCATGGAAATTGCAAACTCTGCAAAATAAGCACCTGCCCCCACCCAGTTAGTTTATCAGCACACCACTGGTTCCATCCTGTATAGGGGGAAGTTGGTGGGTGAGAGGATGGAGGGAAAGAGGAAGGAAGGAAATCACAGAGCAAGCTGTGCTTGATCACTCAGAAGTGAAAAACAGAAGTCTGATGTATGTTCAAGGTAGTAATGTGTGGAGCATAACAGACTGTGTTATATTTTACCCAGCACACACCAAATAGTACAGATGTGACTCCTATATATCTTGTTAAGATGCTTCACTCTTCCACTTTAATAATTTGGGGAATTCTTTGCAGAGTTATTTAACATTGCTGGTTACATAAGTAACGTATAATAACTGCAGAAGTTATGAAATAGTGTTTGATCTTATTTCTCAAATCTGTATTGTTTAACAATTAATGTCTATTAAAATGCAACATCAATTATATAACACCCCAAAGAACAATGTTAGCACATTTTCTTTCCCTTATCCTTTTGCTGCTCACCTTGAGGCTCTGATAATAAGGTCTGGAATTTTAGATGTAGATGACCATTCATTTATATAGTTTTGAATCAAGCATTATTCTTGGCATACATAATCCATTTTGTGAAGCCTTGAGTACAAGACCTAATTCAAAGAAATGCTCAATCCATGTTTGCTTTTATGAAGAGGTATATGCCATTGTAAGACCTGAAGGGACACACCTGTGTTCACAACTGCTTTATAAGACTTCAAGATCATTTTGATGGTAGAATGCAGCATAATGACACTCTGACAGATGAACGGCAGAACTCTGCCACTTACAACTACAAACAGGAGAAGACTCCAGGCGGAAGCACAGGGGGTTGCACCAGGGACGGGATAAGGGCAAACTGGAGCTGCTGGAGGCAGCTTCTATACGACAAGTGGGGTAGGGCTAGCTAGCTAGGCTTGTCATACAGGCGGCCTTCCTATGAATTGGCTAATTTGAACAATTTATCTAAGAGGCACTGGGACACCCCTAGTTGTCTGGCACCTGTCCCAGCAATGATGCTTAGTGACCCCAAAGAGTGAGAACCTAATAAAGGAAGTGGTTGGAGTATGGACATAATCAGCTGCTAAGAAAGGAAACTGACCAGTCCAAGCCAGGGCTTCAAAAGTGGGTCAAAGCAGCATTTTAAAAGATTGTATTACAACAAACTGCACATGTACCCCTTAATCTAAAATAAAAGTTGAAATTATTTTCAAACATTATATTACAGCAAGGTCCTCTCTTGATGGCATCACACTAACTACTACTTGCATTCCGGTATGATCCCTGTTTCTTACTATATTGTCTTTAGAACTAGATACGTCATCAAATTTCCATCTTTCTTAAAGTGAATCATTGTTCAAAAGTGTATTCCACTCCATATGTCAAAAGTACAATGCTCTTTCTCTTTTTTGGATCCAGAAATTTTTCACATACTACAATTTTGGTTTATGTGTTTTTAATTTTCTCTGTACTTGTTCTTAAAGAACCTGTAATGTTGAGTGCCGTTTCTTTGTACACCAATATTATCTACCCTTATGCTTGTCAAGTAGAATATTCTCATCTTTTAAGCAAGAGGGCTTGTTACATAGACATGGGCCCTGGGTGTCTAGGAGTCATTTGTTTAGCACGGCAATGCTGTCCAAGAAGGGCACTTCCTACCCTTGCAGATTGTTATTTATATGGAATTTGTTCTTGAATGATCTGAGGCACACTTTAAACAGCACCCTGCCACAAATAGCTTGGGGAGTTCTTGAACTCTGCAGGAACTGCTCTCGCGGCGTTATTTTAAAATCTGAGTCAATGCTTCCTCCATCCTTCATTTTTCAGGATGTGATGAAACACCATCCATCCTCCTCCTCTTATTCTAATACTGTATAACTTAACATTTGCGGATCAGAGGAGTCCTTCGTGTCGGGTACTTTGTGAAGGCCTTGCTAATTAATTCTCAGTGCAATCTACCTAGTACATGGTGCGTCGGATTCAAAAAGTCCGAACGCTTTGCCCTCATCCATGGAGAAGGCAAGAGGCACAATATACTTAACTAGGACACGGCAGTTCCTCTCATAGTGTCAGGACGCAAAGGTGGGACTCTGTGGTTCCCAGTGGATGGAGAAAACACTCACTGATGCTGATGGAGGTCAGGGAAACTCAGGATGAAGCTACCAGGCAGAAGGGTCAACGTCCCTCCCTGTAGTGAACAATGGACCATGTCTTTCAAGTATAGGTACCTGATGGACATGGCACGTGGATAAGAATTTCCCTCCACTGCCCTATCTATTCTTACTCTTTTCCTCCAGGCCCTGTCAAAACTTTGGAAATTGAAGCATCTTTAATTCTCTTGTTGCTGCAACTGTGTATCTCTCTGTATTTCTGTCATTTTTATTTTACAAGGAAAAATTAGGAGGGTGAATGAAGTGCCCCTAGAACACCACCATCTCAGCCCGGAAATTCCGCATATGGAATTGCAGCTGTATCAGCCAACTCCTCTGAGAAAACACTGATTAATTTGCTTCTTCCCCTTTCTAGTTAATTGTAATGGTCTAAGGCCTGTAATAAGAACATGCTTTTCTAAAATCCAGAATTTCATAGTATTTCTCTTGCATTTTCATGCCTCTACAGGCCAGTATTTTAAAAAGCAGGCACATGACAGAAACACAGCAAGGAAAAAAGAATCGGTGTGATTCCAGTGAGTTAAAATCGGATCATCAATTCTCATCAGGAGAAAGAGGAACCCCTCACTGACCATTCCCTCTTCACAGTGCCGCTCACAGCTACAGCTGCACCAGCTGACTTGAAACATTCACAGTTAATTGACCTTGAACATTTCAATTTCTTACCTGTGGTGAAAAGGTACTACTGGTATGTAAATTAAGCTCTATCATTAACGAGATACACTGATAAAGTAATGGAAATTCAGATGCTTCTAGGCTATACGAAGTAATTTCAGCCAGATAAGTTGGCCACAGGGAATCCAAATATCCGTACCAGGTTTTAAATCGTGCAGTTTCACAGAAGCACGTGGTATCGATGTGTGATAGCATGGTAGGCCTGTTCCCATTTTAAGACAAATGCTAAATAGTAAAATGGAAGCTAGACAGACAGACAGACTGATAGAGATAAATTGATTATTCTTTGCAGATTTATTTATTTATTTATTTATTTTTTTTTGCCAGCCTATGATGACAGGAAGGGACACCAGCAACATGAAATACAAACATAGCTACAGCTGAGGTTAGACCACCAGCAAGATGGCCACCACCAAACCACACAGCCCTCAGAAACACACTATTGTCATATTTACTTTTGTAATGAAGAAAGCGATGACTAACTCCAGCACATTTTAAACTCTGTTACTGTAAACATAATGATTTGTTTGTTCGTTAACAAAACCTTTCAGCTGCTAGTTAACGTGTTATTTGGCCTCATGATTTTAGTATGCCAATATATTCAGTATCATAATAAACCAATTCTTATGAAACTAAAGACCGTCTTTTCATAACCCCATCTCTTCCATGGTTACTGATAATTTACCCGCAAAACAAAAGCAAGAGTCTTGCCCCCGCCCGTTCACATTTTTTCCCATACTGCAGGTTTCCTTTCCCTGTTCCACCATCCTCTTTCACCTGCCTTAACCTTGTTACTGAGACTTGGTGTAATAAAGTGTCATAAATCTATTCAAATGGAAACATTTCTTAACTCTTCATATTTCAGCCTGAAACTCACATTGAAAAGTAAAAGTTCTCCCCATTCACAAGACTCTTAAATGCTGTAGTATTGTTATGATAATCACATTTTAAAAGCATATTAAGTGCCTATTGATTTCTCCCACCTTCAGCAAACATGAGACTATATGGCAGTTGCAACGTTTTGAATCATTAAAAAAAATATATTCTTGCTATTAGCTCCAAAGAGAGTTATGATCACAGGAAAGTTGAGCTTTAAAAAAATTTAGTAACTGATTGACTGCAGACACAGCAGCTCTTTTATCTGCTGATACCGCTTTTCAACATCAGATTTCTGAGAAACTTGCTTCTATAATATG